TTACATCATCCCCATAACAATCACTCCCAACAACATTATTTTAATCATATCAGGAACTCTTATTTTCACCCCATCATTTGGTTTTACTTCTTCTTCTTCTTCTTTCTGTGTCTCTTTGCTTGAATCAGTAGTACATTTGGTAGGCTTGCACTTGCGCATCGACGTCAACGTCACTGTCGACGTCACCGTTGACGTACTCGTTATCGTACTCGTATGCAATGACGTACTCGTCACCCATGTATCTGTTGTTTGTATCATTGTACACTCTTCTGTTACTTTTCCTCCACTTCCCGGTTTGGTTGTCGTAGTAGTTGTCGTCGTAGTCGTGGTAGTAGTCGTGGTAGTGGTCGTAGTAGTGGTCGTCGTAGTGGTTGAGATTTCTTTTTGCGTCTCTGTATGATGAGGCGTAACTTTTAATGATTCTATTCCTTTGCATAACTCTTCTATTTCTTTACAAGCTGGTTTAGATTCCTCACAATCCTCTTTAAAACCGCAATCTAGTTCTAAAGCATTGCATTCCTCTTTCAATTCCAAATACAATTCCAATGCTACCGTCGTTGCATCAAATGCTTTTACCTCTTCTTCTGATACTCCTTCAGCTACATATGCTCTTTTAACGAGTCCAAGTTTTGTATACTTCGTCGTTTGACCTGATGCGTCTGATGTTTTATCTTGTGTCCCTGATCCTCCAGCTGGCGTGTCCACCTTTCCATTAGTTGATGGCTCTGATGCTGGTGGTGACCCTGATGCTGGTGATGATCCTGATTCTGCTGGTGCTGATGGTGGTGCAGAAGCACTGCCATTCTGCGCAGTTGGCATTGCGGCTTTTCCAGACTTTGATAGCAATAAGCTAGCTTTGTTTGTAGATTCTTCTGCCGCCTTTTTAGCATTTTCGTACTCAGTCTTCATCTTTGTCAACTCATCTTTCGCTTTATTCAGTTCGTCTTTTAAAGTAGGACATTTCTTCTGTACTTTTTTAACTAATTCCGCGCAAACATTTTCCAAGGAATCTTCACAATTAGTAAGCAGAATTTTGAATGTATCATTATTTTTCAACTCAGGGCAACGCTGTCCTAGTGTTACTTTACATTTTTCTTTATCCTTTAAGCTGCCTTTCAACAGATGAGTCAGCTCATCCTTCAATTCCAACTTTTTAAAGGTATCAGTGCATTTTTTTTCGAGTTCTTCGCAGTTTTGATTATTGTCATTGTCTTTTTTTTTCAACTTATCTGGACAATTCTCCATAAGTTGGTGACAATATTTACCCCATGTTGTGCAGAGTTCTTCTACTTCTGCTTCTTTTGATTTATCCTGTTTTACTTTTCCAATTTGTTCTAGAATTTTTTTATTTTTGATGTTGTCTTTTAAATAAATACAATCTTGAGTTGTATGGTATACCATACGTTGACATGTTTCTTCTTGCAAAGCACATGAAAACTCAAATGGATTCCTCCTTTTCCTAAATAAAGCTTCACATTTCTCATGCAACGCCTTCGTACAATTTTGCTCATCGTATAATGAATGATCTTTTCTTTCTAAAAATACTTTTCTAAATCTTTCTGTAACCTTAAAGTATTCACAGCGTCTTTTCAATGTTATACACTTTTCTAAATTCAATAATGAATCACTACCAAGTTCATCACACTTCTCTCCCAATTCAACACAATCCTTTTCTAATGGAAAATCTCTCTGATCATCTAAAAGCACACTTAACTCTTTTGATTGAAGAAAAATATCATCTGAAAGCACATAACATAGTCTTTTAGGGTAAAGACATTTTGAAAGGTATCTTTTATCAAGTTCTGCACACTTTTTTGCCACTGATTTTTTGCAACTTTCAGTATCATTAAAATATTTTATATTAGCAAGCTTTCCCTTCATCTCCTCTCGAAACAACGTATTCAACATCCTGTCTTGTCCCTTTTTATAGCACGCTGATCGTACATTTTGACATGCTTCACCAATCTTATTCGTACACGCATTTTCTAAATAGAAGCATTCCGACTCAAGTTCTGCACACTCTCCTTTTATAAAAAGGGTTGGAAGCTGTCCCCACGATAAAAGTTTTGATTCTTGTTCTTCTTTAAACTCCGTAGACAACCCTTTCACATAAAGATTTAATTTGAGTTTTGTACATCTTTCTTTTACATCTAGTATTTTTTTGCATTTATTTTGTTTATCACTATCTTTGCATAACTTCATCAAATCAGTATTCAAATATTCAGAAGCACCACATTTTCCTAATGCTTCGGTGCACTTTTTATCTGCATCCGTCTGCTTCTCATCTCTGCTCAACAGTAGCAAGAGATCTTGCAGAAATTTTGTACCTGACTTCCTTGGTAGATCCACTCCTGATTTTCCAATAATAATCCCATGTTTTTCCGCGTTTTTATACACATCATCCAACCCAATACTTCTCAACAAGGACGCCCTCGGCTTGACAGGACTAAGATCAGATTCTGGCGCTTTATATATAATATTTTTTCCCTTGCATTGCTCCTCAAACTTCTTGCATTTCGCATCATCACACGCTTCTCCGTAAAAATGACATTTCTCAAGTCTTTCATGACACTTTTCCGCTAATTCGTTATCTTTAAGCTCTTTTTTTAAAGGCTCGCAAACAGTACCCAATTTTTTTTTCAGATCTCCACATGTTTTAGCAGAATCAAGGCAAAAAGACATCAATTCGTCGCTTTCTCGGCTCAACACTGGGCAAACAGTATTCATCTTTCCTTTACATTTAGCTTCTTCTTTAGCATCCCCTCCGAGCGCCCTCAAAAGAAGCTCCTCTGCCACCTTTTCACGCTTCAATTTGTAACATCCTTCCCTCAACTCGATACAGTTATCCTTAATAACATCATAATCCGTCTCTTCTAAAAGTATACATTTTTCTTCATATTTTTCGCAATTTTCATCTTTTATATTATTCAATACTTTTTGAAGTTCCTCTTCAAAATCTTTTAATTCATCTTCAACTTTTTTTTTCACGTCTTTGCATTTTTCGTCTCGTTTTTTATCATCACAAAGTCCTTTAACTTTATCATCCACATTCTCTAGATTTTTATCTGCTTCCTTCAACTCTTTACAATATTTCTCGAGTTCTTCTTTGCATTTTTGTTCTTCTTTATATTTGTCCTTCACAATGAAAGCCAAAAGGTGTTTCTCATCAATCTCATCTTGTGCTCCTTGTACTGCTTGCCTCTTAACCGGCCGTGCCAT